CTAACCCTAAACCCTAAACCCTAAACGGTATCGGGATGCATGAGATGGTAAAAATTCAGGTTCTGGGGGTTCAGGGGCTTGGGCCCCTGGAAGGGCTCGATTTTCGCAGTTTACGCACCCTCAGGCCCTCAACCATTACGAAAGGTTTGGGGGGCCAGGGAGTATACTAATAATAGTAAGAATAGATAGATAGATAGATAGATAGATAGATAGAGAGAGAGAGAGAGAGAGATAGATAGATAGATAGACAGATAGAGCTTTGCACGCCCTTAGCCACCCTGAATCCTCAACCGCCCTTCGCCCTGCACTGTAGCATCCCTCCTAGGCACATCGAATCCCAGCTGGAGCGCGTGAAGCACGAGCGTGAACTCTGGAAACTTGCCCAATGCTTTCTTAGCCCATATGGGTAGAGCGCCTTTGTGTTGTAGTGTGTTTCTACTACTTTCTGAGCTTCCGCTTTTTCATTGTGTTGATGCCTTGGCTGTTGGAGGCGCGCGAGTAAGCTGCACTTCCGAGAGGGGGTCGAATGGCAGATGATGGCTGTTTACAGTGGGCCCCGGCACCCGTTTGTTTCTAGGTTCCTCTTGGGTCTAGCAAGCGTTCCAGAAGCTCGTGAAGCCCTAAAGCCACAGCTCCTTAAGCTCCGAAGACCTAAACACCCTAAACTCCTTAACCTACTGGTTGTTCGCAGGGAAAGTGGGTTTACACACTCCCTTAGAGTGCTTATATACAGAGGGATGTTCCCTCATTCCCTACTAAGAACCAGAACGCTAAGCCCTAGGATTGCCTGAGCCCTAAACCCCTCAACCCCAAACCCTTCAACCCTACACCCCTAACCTGACCTTAAGAACCCTCAGCTGACTTGTTGGTCGCTTGTGTGAATCACCCCGAAACCTGACCTTAAAAACTCTCAGCTGACTTGTTGGTCGTGTTTTGAATCAAACTCCCTTTAAAGGACCCGTCGGCAATCTGCAAAGGGGTAGGTTGGGGGTTCTTCAGGTATGGCTAAGGGGTTTCGGGGTTACGGTTAGGGATCGGGTGTTTGTAGGCTTTATTTTGGGTGTCTAATCTTCCCTCCCCCCTCCACGGCCCAGGAAGGAAGTTGTTGAGCGTCGCCAGCAGCAGCCCTTGCCCTGGTCCATGGCGGGTTTCGGGCTTTCGGGCTTTCGCGATTCTGGGGGGCCTTAGGAATGAATTTTACTCTCTATGTATATTTAAAACCCAAGGGAAGATTAAGCATAATTCTGTTTAAAGGTTTTAAAGGAAGTATAGCCTTATGGTTGAGGGTTGAGGGTTTAGGGTGCCTAGAAGCGAAAGCTGCCCTGAACACTAAACCCGAAACCCTAAACCCTAACCCTAGACCCTAAAACCCTAGACCCTGAACCCTGAAAGCCCACCTCCCCGCCTTGCCCGGCCGGACTTCCAAAACGAGCTATTCCTTGGGGGCCAAATGAACCCCGAAAGGGTTTATGGTAGATATATACCTTAGTAGGAGTTATAGTGGTACAAGTACAAATACGTTAATAGGAATTGTGGTTGGACAGGGTACATACACCTCAAAAGGAGTTTTAGTAGTACAGGGTGTATGTCCCCAATCTAGGGCTCATCTGCTCCCCAAGGTCAGTAACCCCCTCAAGTGATTCTGTTGGGCACCTTATCCCCTAATCATTTTTTGCCAGATGTTGTGTGAGCAGCCGTGAGAAAGAACGGCACGTCGAGACCCCTCTTGCCATCTCTCACCCCGAGCCCTAAAACCCTAGACCCCTCGGAGATATGGGATCTTCCAGAAAGACAGCGCCGCCCTTGATACACCCAGTCTGGACTCCTGCAAAGGAACACCCCCACTCCCAGCAAGGGACCCCCGAACAAAGACACAAACATTCTCTACCTTATCAGAGCAATCTAGGAACAACGTCGTTCGTGTTTTGGCTTGGTAGCCCAGTGGTACCCTTTTCCTTTTTTTTTGGTTCTAGGTTCCCTTGCAAAGAAACCAACCCCAAAAGGGGTGCCCTTATTTCAATCGGGCATACCAAGTTGCACATCGGGGCCTCGGAACCTCCTCCCAAACACACCCGGAACCCTGCCCAAACCTACATGCTAACCCCTACACCCTGCCCAAATCTAGACTCTAAACCCTGGAACCCCAAACCCCAAACCCCAAACCCTAAACCCCAAACCCCAAACCCCAAACCCCAAACCCCAAACCCAAAACCCAAAACCCCAAACCCCAAACCCCAAACCCCAAACCCCAAACCCTAAACCCTAAACAAAACCCTAAACCCTAAACCCCCTATCGCTGAGGCCCCTCCAGCTCGCCTTGTCCATGAAGGAGCAGCCGGCTGCAGGAGGCGGTTCGTAGGAGGGCCCGGGCCTCGGGTGTGTGGGGCTTAGGGTTTAGGGTTTAGGGTTCAGGGTTTAGGGTTTAGGGTTTAGGGTTTAGGGGTTGAGGGTTTCGGGTTTCAGGGTTGCGGGTGAGGGTTGAGGGTCGAGGGTTTAGGGTTTCGGGGTTGAGGGTTGAGGGTGTTGGGGGTTTAGGGTTGAGGGTTTAGGTTTTATGGTTCGTAGGCTAAAACGGTTAGGGTTTTGGGGGGGTTTTAGGGGGTTGGGGTTGAGAGGGTCTGGGGGTATTTTTGGGGTGGATGGAGGTAGCTAGGTTCTGTGGAATTTGAGGAAAGTTCTAGAATAGGAGCCCAGTCCAAAAACCGACCAGCCATGCGAACACGTCCCTGTTTTTAGTGTTCAAACAACCCTACCCCAAGCTCTCAACCTTCAAACCCTTCAAACCCTTCAAACCCCCTCAAACCCATCAACCCCATCAACCCCATCAACCCCACAACCCCCTAAGCCCCAAACCCTAAACCCTAAACCCTCAACCCCAAACCCCAAACCCTCAACCCTAAACCCTAAACCCCCAACCCTAACCCCAAACCCGAACCCGAAACCCGAAACCCGAAACCCGAAACCCTAAACCCTAAACCCTAAACCCTAAACCCTAAACCCTCAACCCTCAACCCTGCACCCTAAACCATCCCAAACCCTACACCCTACACAGAAATGTGGAGACAAGTGCCACATGAGCTCGGGCCCTCCGGCGAAACGCGTGGCCGGAGGCTGGCAGATGGGGCCTTGGAGGGCTTTTTTAGGGTTTAGGGTTTAGGGTTTAGGGTTTAGGGCTTTCAAGTGTGGTTTGGGGGAGTTAGGATTTCGGGTTTAGGATTTAGGGTTTAGGAGTTGGGGATTTAGGGTTTAGGTACGGTTTTGTTTTTCGATTTTTGGGGTTGAAGGGGTTTAGTAGGGTTAGGATTTGCAGCGAGGGGGGGCCGGGGGGGGGGAAGTTTAGGGCCGTTCAGTTGAATGGCTTAGGGTTTACGGCTCTAACAAGATTACAAGATCGAAGTCAGAAGATCGTATAGGATTACATATAGCCCGAGCAGGCAGGAACAAAAGGTGATTTTCACCAGTGTTTAGTGGGGGGTCTATACCCGAAGACCCATAAACCCTAAACCTCTAGACCCAATACTCCTAAGCCCTAAGTCCTTCAACCCTAAAGCCCATACCCAAATTTTCATTCCTGAAACCCTTAAACCCTAAACCTTAAATCCTAACTACGAAGCCCTAGCCTGTACAGTGCGGGCCCATCTCCAGTTGCACTGAATCCTGCTGCCAAGAGCTCGCGCGCGCTTTCATCTTCCTGGGCACCCGCGGCGTTAGGGGAAAGCTTCCGGGTTTGTTGAGTGTTTTTGGGGGTTTCGGCAAGTAGGGATACCCTTTTGGGGGGAGCTCCTAGAATGAGGATTATGTAATTATGTATATATATATATATAGTATCCTGGCAGTATATAAGAGGGACGGCCCTATTTTGGGAAATGCCCATGTGGGGTTCCCTTGAGGCTGCAAAGAGACAGGGCGGTTTCCAAGGTCAGGTGCAGCATTGCTTTCATTTGCCCCGTCGCTTTTGTGATTGCTGCTCCTAAGGATGTTATCGTTCCTGTGAATCTTCGTGTTCGTCTTGTTGCTGTCATCGCCGTCGTGGTTGTTTTTTTTGAGTGTCGTTCATCTTACTCTGTCTGTTGGGGCTGTTCTGCTTCTCACTACGATTGTACTAGAGTTTAGGGTTAAGGGCCCTTAAAAATAGGGATCCCTACACCCGAACCTTTCGGGTTTCGGAATTACGGGCGCTAAGATACACATAATCTCCGGAAACCAGCTTGAGTTTGACGACAAGCGTACGTCACAAAGCTGAACTTCCGGCTTCGCCGCTTTCAGGGTGTGCCTGCTGTCATCTCGACCCCTTGCACCTTTTGTAATTAATCCAAGGGCGGGTGCGGTAACATGCTGCGCCGGCCTGATTTGAGTGGCAGCCCCGTCAGCAAGACCTGGCGTGATGAAAACCAGACAGCCCCCTACGCCCTACGAGCTCTGTAAACCCTGAGCTCTACACGTGTAAAACCCTGCAACCTATGAAGCCTTGTCCAACTCTAGAAACTACACACTCTGAGCCCTAAACCCTAAACCCTATACCCTAAACCCGACAGCAAAACCCGGCAATTCATCCCTCATGTCTCCCCGCAGGAGCGGGGGTGTGCTAAGGGGAAGTGCAAGTTGGGCCCTAAACCCTAAACTTTAGATTCCTCATGGGGTATGCTTAGGTTGGTAGTTGGGGTGAAGGTTGATTTGAGGGTTTGATGGCTTGAAGGCCTGAGAGGTTGGGGTTTAGGGTTTGGGATGAAACCCTATCAACACTGAACCCTCTGCTATTGCCAAGCTTGTCCTAGAACGGGTGATGGGGGGGAGTTCCGGATTTTGGTCGGGCTTCGTATTCTAATGGGGGTCCTTCCCTTTGTTGCGTACCCTAGAAAAACCCTGTTCTTAGGGTTTAGGGTTCGAGCTGCTTCCGCCAAGTTGCTCCGCCGGTCGCAGCTTGCTCTTTGAGGGCTCGGCAGTCTCCCACGCGCAGTGCAGAAATCCGTGCAACGCCTTGGGTGATCATGAGTTCAGAAATGGAGGCCGGGAGCGGGAGGGTTTGCAGGGCGCCACCAAAGGGCTACCTGCGGGGTCTAGGCTTCGGGGTTAAGGGTTTAGGGCTACGCGGCTACACGGCTACACGGCGACACGGCGACACGGCTACACAGCTAAACCCTAAACCCTGCACCCTAAACCCTAAACCCTGAACCCTAAACCCTAAACCCTAAACCCTAAACCCTAAACCTTAAACTCTAGAGGCCCTTAAACCCTAAACACCTTAAACCCCCTCCCCCCCTCCCCCCCCCCTTTTAACCCCCCTAAACCCTCGACCCAACCGCACAGAACCTCTTAACCCAAAGCCTCCAGGTTTATGGAAGTTAGGGTTGTCGGTTTAGGGTCTAGGGTTGGGATGTTCCCCCTTTTACTAGCAGTCCTTAAAGGGAGTATAGTAGGGGGTTACTATAATCCCTACTAAGGACTGCACCAAAGCCTCGCCTCATAAACCCACAACCCCCCCGAAGCCGTAACTCAAGACCAAGCTCTGAGGGCTTAGGGTTTGAGGGTTTAAAGTTTAGGGTTTAGAGGTTACCCAAACTAACCTGTAGTCCCTATTAAGGACTGTTAGTATAGGGGGGAGCATCCCAACTTAAACCCTGAATCCTTAACCCTGTGTTCACCCCTAAACCCTAAACCCTGAACCCTGAACCCTGAACCCTGAACCCTAAACCCTAAACCCTAAACCCTAGAAGCCTGCCCCCAAAAAACTAATACAAAATAATGACGAGTAATAATCATCACCTTAGAAATGATGATGATAAAAATCGCAATAACAATAGTAATAATAATAGTAATAATAGAAATAATAATAATAATAATAATCGTAATAATAGTAATAATAGTAATAATGGTAATAATAGTAATAATAGTAATAATAGTAATAATAGTAATAATAGTAATAATAGTAATAATAGTAATAATAGTAATAATAGTAATAATAGTAATAATAGTAATAATAGTAATAATAGTAATAATAGTAATAATAGTAATAATAGTAATAATAGTAATAATAATAATAATAGGAAAATAATAGTAATAATAGTATAATAGTAATAATAGAATAATATAAATAATAATAATAAATAATAGTAATAATCAAAATAATAATAGTAATAATATAATAATAGTAATAATAGCAATAATAGTAATAATAGTAATAATAATAATAGTAATAATATAATAATAGTAATAATAGTAATAATACTAATAGTAATAATAGTAATCATAATAGTAATAATTAGGTATATAATAGTAATAATAGCAATAATAGTAATAATAGTAAATTAGCAATAATAGTAAATAATAAGTAATAATGTAATAATAAGTAATGTAATAATAGTAAATAATAAATAATAAGAATAGTAATAATAAAAGTAATAATAAAAGTAATAATAAAAGTAAAATAAAAGTAATATATAATAATAAAAGTAAATAGTAATAAGTAATAATAGTAATAATAGTAATAATAGTAATAATAGTAACTAGTAATAATAGTAATAGTAATAATAGTAATAATACTAATAGTAATAATAGTAATAATAGTAATAATAGTAATAATAGAAATAATAGAAATAATAGCAATAATAGTAATAATAGTAATAATAGTAATAATAGTAATAATAGTAATAATAGTAATAATCGTAATAATAGTAGTAATAATAATAGTAATAATAGAAATAATAGTGATAATAGTAATAATAGTAATAATAGTAATAATAGTAATAGTAATCAAAAAAAATCACTCCCTGGCAGGCCAAGCTTCAGGAGCTCGAGACTCGGCTCGCGGCCCTGGAAGGTGCCGGAGGCGACGGTTCAGGGTTTAGGGTTCAGGGTTTAGGGTTTAGGGGTTAGGGGTTTAGGGGTTTAGGGGTTTAGGGGTTTAGGGGTTTAGGGTTTAGGGTTTATGGTTTAGGGTTTAGGGTTTAGGGGTTTAGGGGTTTAGGGGTTTAGGGGTTTAGGGGTTTAGGGGTTTAGGGGTTTAGGGGTTTAGGGTTTAGGTTTAGGGGTTAGGCGGCTTTAGGGAGTTTAGCGGGTTTAGGGTTCGGGATTTGGGGGTGTTAGGGGCTCGTGTGGGTTGAGGGTTCAGGGTCCAGGGTTTTTAGGGGGCTTAGGAGGTTCCGGGTGCAGGGTTCACGGGGAGTAGTGGTTTAGGGTGTAGGGTTTAAGGTTTGGGGTTTAGGGGCTTTGCAGTCTTGGGGCCTTTTGGGCTTTCATGCTTGTTGGGGTTAGTTGGGGCTCAGAGGCTCACTGGATGTAGGGGCTCGAGGGTTTAGGGTTTCGGGTTTCGGGTCTAGGGTGAGAAAGACAGGAGACGCAGGTCTTAAAGGATCCTAAGGTGCCAGGGTCCGGGGACAGCCACAGCATTCCCCGAAAGGGTTTCGGTTGGTGGAAAAGGTGTTTGGGGTTAAGGGCTCTGACCCCGAGCTCTGAGCCCTGAACGCCCTAAACCCCAAGCCTTCAATCGAGAGTCAGGGAAGTAGGTAAACCCTAAACCCTAAACCCTAAACCCTAAACCCTAAACCCTAAACCCTAAACCCTAAACCCTAAACCCTAAACCCTAAACCCTAAACCCTAAACCCTGAAGACAGGCTGAAGGCGATCCAGGGCTCTAGTCTTTAGGTTTGGAGCTTAGGTCTTTTAGGGGTTGGAGGGTTTTAGGGGTTTGGGGTTTAGGGTCTGCGCCTGTAGGCTTTAGATTTTTCCCGAAATCCCAAAAGCTAAACCGAATCCCTAAAACCTAAACCCTAAACCCTAGCACCCCAAACCCTAAACCCTAAACCCTGAACCCGAAGCCCTAAACCCTAAACCCTCCAACGGCGAGAAGAGAAAGCAGGTGGCGAGGATGGCGTTCTGCCCTCCCGCAAGACGGGGGGCGACGCGCAGATCATGAAGAAGGTGGGGTTTAGGGTTTTGGGTTCAGGGTTTAGGCTTACTTCCATTTAAGAACCGGAAAGCTGCACAGCTTGTAGGGTTTAGGGTTCAGGGTTACGGGTCGTAGGAGTCCTAGACTAGCGTCATTCATCTCTTCTCTTGCTTCGACGAATATTTAGGGGGCTTCGCGAGAAGAAGCGACAGCAAAGTGGGGTTGAGGGGGGGGGGGGGAATTAGGGTTGAGGGTTTAGCTTTAGCCCTAAACCCTAAACCCTAAACCCTAAACCCTAAACCCTAAACCCTAAACCCTAAACCCTAAACCCTAAACCCTAAACCCTAAACCCTAAACCCTAAACCCTAAACGCTAAACCCCTAAAACCGTCGAGGTGGCCACCCGCCTCCAAGACTTCGAATCGCAGATCACGGCCCAGCTGGCCAACCTGCAGACCGACTTCGCCTCTCGCCCTTAGGGGTTTTGGTTTTAGGGTTTAGGGTTTAGGGTTTAGGGCTTAGGGTGTAGGGTTTAGGGCTTAGGGTTTAGGGTTTAGGGTTTCGAGTTTACGGTTTCAGTTTTGTTTTTTTGGTTTGGGGGGAGTTTAGCTTTTGTGTTGATAATTCTGTGTTTTTGGGAGGAGGTTTGGGTGGTTACTTAAACACTAAACCCTAAACCCTAAACTTCTTAACCCATGTCTTCAACCCTAAACCCTAAGTCCTACCTAAAGAACCCCCCCCCCAAAAAAAATAAAACAAAAGCAAAGATCAGGTTTGGTTGAGGGTTGAGGGTTTAGGGTTTAGCCCTCAACGCCATTATACCATTCGCTCCCCTCCTATCCCCTTAAGAGACAAGAATGGTCTGTCCGGAATTCAATTGTAAATTGTAGATTGAAAGTTCTATGAACCCTAAAATCCTAATGCCGTAAAACCCCAATACCGCATTCGCTGAGGAGTTGTAGTGAGGGGCGGACATCAGTTTGTGACAGGCTAGCGAGTAGCGTTGATCCGGGGCCTAAACCCTAAACCCTAAACCCTAAACCCTAAACCCTAAACCCTAAACCCTAAACCCTAAACCCTAAACCCTAAACCCTAAACCCTAAACCCTAAACCCTAAACAATGATATCGATGGCCCGAACATCTGAAGAACGCACGGGCTGACGCCGTGCTGGCAACTTGCCTTCAGAGAACGGAAGGGGACACAACGAAAACGCAAAAGCACCGAACTCAATACGGGGGTTTACGATAAATAAGGGACCCAAAATACAGACCCCCCAAATAATCAGCAGGATCCCCCCTACGATAAGGACCCCAGTAAGGTACCCCTAATACTAATAGCGTGAACCTCCAAACTCTAAACCCTTAACCCTAAACCCTAAACCCTTTATTCATATTTTTGGGTTTAGTCCCCTCTGCGCGTCCCCAAACCCCTCACCTTCTTTAGAGAGGGTTAAGGGCTTGGGTTGTTTTTTCGGCAGGCTCAGCCGAAAGGGTTTCGGAATTTTCCCACCCTTAACCCTTAACCCCTTTAAAACCTTAAACTCTTTAAAACCTCAAACTCTTTAAACCCTTCAACCCTTAAACCCTTAAACCCTTCAACCCTTAAACCCTTCAACCCTTAAACCTTTAAACCCTTAAACCCTTAAAACCTTACACCCTTACACCCTTACACCCTTAAACCCTAAACCCTAAACCCTAAACCCTAAACCCTAAACCCTAAACCCTAAACCCTAAACCCTAAACCCTAAACCCTAAACAGTCTAGGGTTTGGGGGGATGGCTTGGGGCCAATTTCCCTGTCGAAGGACAAGAAGCTCAGCCATGTGAACCGCGGAGCGGCTGCCACGAAACCGGTGGCCCGGCCTGTTCTTGACATTTGGAGAACGTGGGGTTCGGGGTTTAGGGTTTAGGGTTTGGGGTTTGGGGTTTAGGGTTTAGGTTGGCATGTATGTCCGTTGGTTTGATGGCGCTCCAGGCTAGAAATAGCTTGTCGCGAAAGCACCCCAAGCTGCGCGATTGAGGACACTTCTTTCTGGTTGTCCTGCAAGTAAGGTGAGCAACTTGAAGTTGCATCTGCCACCAATCAGGATGCAGCCATACTCACATTTGGGCTGAGCTGCTTCTCAAGTAAGTGGCGGGAGCAACGGCTCTGCAATTTGCAGCATGGTCTGCGGCCCTTCTTCGTCTACGATGCAGAGGCACCCATCGACGAGCGCCAGGTGTCCAAGGGCGAAGGTCAAGTCAGATCAGCGCAAAGCTCGCAGAGGTGATGGCCATTCCTGACTTGGGCATAGGGCTCCCTAGAAACGCATCATCGAGACCCAGAGAACACCCTAATCCCTGCCTTGCCTTTGTGTGTGCGTGTGTGTGCTTGTGCTTTAGCAGCTGCTCATGGGCTTGAAGTAGGTTCAGAAAGAGGAAGACAAGTTCTATCAATCCATATTATGGTAACTCCCCTAAACCCTAAACCCGAAACCTGGGTCTACACAATAGGATCTTGAGAGACTCTAAAGGGACCCGAACACTTGAGATGACCGTGAAAGCAGCCCTGAACCCCGCTAAACCGCCCTACGCCCGGGTTCGGGTACAGGGTTTAGGGCTTAGGGGTTCACCCTGAAAAGACCACTCAAACCCCTAAAACCCCACCAGACCCCCAAACTGCGTAAGCCCTATATAGACCTTACACCCAAACCCCACACTGAAGCCCTGGACCGACAAGCAACACCAGCAACGAGATGTGGCGAACAAGAAGGAATGGGACGGCTGTGGAGGGTTTAGGGGCTTAGGGTTTGCTGGATCATTGTTGGACATGATTTTACACTTTTCTAAATACTTAAACTCAATGAGGGACAAAAATCATCATTCTAAAGTAGCAATGGCGCCGCTTAGGGTCTAGGGTTTCGGGTTCAGGGTTCAATGGACTAAAGGATTGACCCTTATGACGGACCTTAGGGATATTTAGGGGCTACTTAGGTCCCTCCTTATACCCCCTAAACCCTAAGCCCTAAGCCCGAAGCCCTAAGCCCTAAACCCTAAACCCTAAGCCCTAAACCCTAAACCCTAAACCCTAAACCCCTGAAGTCTAGGATTCAGGGTTTAGGCTGAGGGCTCATCCCTTGAGGTGGATGGCGCCGGGGGAGCAGCGGGCCTGGACACGATGGCCGAGGTCAGGCTGAGAGGTTTGAAGCACTGGGGAGAGCCAGCTATAGGGTTTAGGGTTTAGGGTTTAGGGTTTAGGGTTTAGGGTTTAGGGTTTAGGGTTTAGGGTTTAGGGTTTAGGGTTTAGGGTTTAGGGTTTAGGGTTTAGGGTTTAGGGTTTAGGGTTTAGGGTTTAGGGGTCGGAATAAATACGAATACGATTCCCTTATGGTCCCTCTATAAGTATACTACAATGACCCCCCCCCCTCACCCCCAAAAAAACCTATTCCAATTCTTAAGGCCCCTACAGTAGGCAGTCAGTGCAAAGGATGGTTTAGGGCAGACCGGGGGGAGTTTAGGCGAGTCTATTGGCTTCGGAAAGCTCAGGGCAGATTCCCTGCTGGGTAGGAATCTTCCTAGCCTCACAGCCGGGTTTACTTGGAGTTTCATGGTACTTCCAGCTATAACTGTACTTATCACTGCACTTATATTACCATGTTAGGGCACTTCCGGGGCCTATAAGCGGGTTATAAGTACAGCTATCATTGATTAAGAAGTACCATGAACCTCCAAATAGAGTTTAGGGCCGGCGGGCATCACGAAGAGGACGGCAGGCGAAGATGTCAATCTCCTTGGGGGTTGACATCTCATTGGGTGCCCCCAAACCCCAGACCCCGAATCCGCACTTTTGAAACCTTCGGGTTCGGGAAGGGTCAGTGTTTGAGGTGTAGGGCTCGGATAGGACTATGCTAGGACTACACCTGCACCTGAACCAACTCTTATATATGCTTCAGGCAAGGAAATTTGCAACCTTACTTTGGGAGTGGGCACTCCAGGGACACTCTGGGGATAGTCTGGGGTTGGGGACTTTGGGACTCTCTAGAAATACTCCAGGGTTGGGTACGACCGCCCGCAACCGTGCGGATTTTGTTGCGTGTGGGTGAGAAGAGCCTCGAGAAGTTGGGTGGAAGATCACTTCTGTTGGAGGTCGCTTTCTACATGATGGTGTTATTTGCGGCCAGTCTGAAATCAAATGCCAGCAAGAGCGGGCCTATGCATCCGATGTGTTTGCAATCAGCTTCACCCCCCAGCTACGCTCTCTGGGGTTGGGCACTCCAGGAATTTTGTGGGGGATACTCGAGACCTGGGCACTCCAGCGATTCTGGGATACTCTGAAATGAGTACTCCAGAAGTTCTCTGCAGACTCTGTGGGATTCTGGGTTGGGCACTCCAGGGACTCTCAGGATACTCTGGGGTTGCCAGGAACTCTTGGGGGATATTCTGGGTTGGGCAATTTTGGGGTTAGGCACTTCAGGGACTCTGAGGGGAAATTCCGGGGTTAGGCACTCCAGGAAGATACGCTGGGGTTGGGCTCTGCAGTATGCAGGGACTCTGTGGGGCTACTCTGGGGTGGGAAACAGGTGATGGGCGAGGAGTAGACCGGGCGAGGAGGAGAGTTTAGTTTGAAATCTAACAACCCCACACGCGAGGGTGAGCCCTTTAAAGCCCGAAACCTCTAGAATTACAGCCCCCAAGGACCTTCTTGGAAGTCCCCCTTGCGCCCCTAAACCCTAACCCCTAACCCCTAAACCCTAAACCCTCAAACCCTAAACCCTCAACCCTCAACCCTCAACCCTCAACCCTCAACCCTCAACCCGAAACCCGAAACCCTAAACCCCAAACCCTAAACCCTAAACCCTAAGCCCTAAGCCCTAAGCCCTAAACCTTAAACTCTAAACCCTCAGCCCTAAGCCCTAAGCCCTAAGCCCTAAGCCCTAAACCCTAAACCCTAAGCCCTAAGCCCTAAGCCCTAAACCCTAAACCCTAAGCTCTAAGCCCTAAGCCCTATAAGCCCTAAACCCTAAACCTCAAACCTCAGTGCAGACGCCAGGATCTGGATCAGCTGAAGTATGACGTGGGCGAGCTCAAAGACTTGCTAGGCGGGTAGGGTTCAGGTTTAGGGTTTAGGGTTTAGGGTTTAGGGTTTAGGGTTGAGGGTTGAGGGTTTCGGGTTTAGGGTCTAGGGTTTACTTTTTGCTTAAGAACCCCAGAAGAGTAAGAAATAATAACCCCTGTATTACCCTTACTAGGGAAGAAAAGATTTGATTTTTTGGGGGTTCTTAAGCAATTAGTAGTAGTGCTTCTCTTCGGGTAGTTGCATGGTCCCTTACCTCGTTTGAAGGGTTCCGAAGTAAGGGTATTTAGGTGTTACAGGGTTTTATGAGGGGTATAGAAGGGTTCCCCAATCTGGGCCATGTAGCTGCGCTAAGAGCTTCAGGGTTTGGGTCTGAGGGATTGCAGAGGGCTCGCTGCACGGTTTAGGGCTAGGGCTTAGGGTTTGCTGCAGGGCTTAGGGCTCAGGGCTCAGGGCTGAGGGCTTAGGGCTTCGGGTTTAGGGTTTAGTAGGGTTTAGGGTTCAGGGTTTTAGGCTTAGGGTTAGGATTTAGGGTTTAGGGTTTAGGGTTTAGGGTTTAGGGCCTGAGCTCTAAGCTGAGAAAGCCTGCAGGCAACAACAAGGGCGAGGTGAACCACATCCGCCGCATCGTCCTGGCGTGCGAGCGCGACATGGAGGACCGGCTCTGGGCTTCGGGTGTCTGGGGTTTAGGGTTTAGGGTTTAGGGTTTAGGGTTTTAGGGTTTAGGGTTTAGGGAGAAGGTGTCCGGGTTTAGGCTTTTTGCAGAAATGCCTGTTCTCAGAGCTTGGGGTGTTGGTTGGGATGTTCCCCTTCATAGTACGGGGGGGTTCATGGTTCTGGCTAAACCCTAAACCCTACCCCTAAACCCTAAACCCTTTTGCTGATCATTCTAAGGGGCCCCTACATATCATGCGCTTGAGCACCCGCACAAAAAAGCAGCCTAGGATTTTTGTCGTTTGAGTGCTGACATCGCTACACGTTCGATGTGAATCCTGGTAGTGTTTAGGGTTTAGGGGTTAGGGGACTTCTACGTGCCTGTTGATCAGAGTTGGGGCCCTGTTGAAGGGCAATCATGCTGGCATCTCCTTCTCCTGAACCCTAAACCCTAAACCCCAAACCCTAAAACCCCCCCCCCCCCCCCTTGAAGGACTTCACGGCGGCCATGGATGCGGTGAACGTGGACCTGGACGAGATGCGAGTCCTTGCCTTACGCGTGTGGGTAACCCCGAAGCCCTAAACCCTATACCCCAAACCCTGACCCTCTCAAGCCCTGAAAGCCCGAAGCCCTTCCATACCTCGCGCGCGAGCTCACGTTGGCTTTGGGTCTCTAGGGCACTCAGGGGGCTTGGGGGTATTTAGGGTTGACGGCTTTTAGGGCGTAGGGTTTAGGGTGTCTAGGGGTAGGGTTTAGACTTTAGGGTTTAGGGTATTTGGGGTGTAGAGGTATTTACGGCGTTTCTTCTGGCTTAGGACATTCAGGGCTTTAGGGTTCGTTCGGGGCTGGGTGCATGTGCTCCCTGTCTTGGTCACCTGACGCCGGCTTAGGGTTTGGGGTTTAGGGTTTGGGGTCTAGGGTTGTTGCTCTTGTGCAATCCTTCAAGCAGGCTGGGGGCCTGCCCTCAGAGCAAACCTTGAGTCACTTTCACCCCCAGCTTCTGCTGTCACATGGGGAGGTGCCAATATATCTGGAACAACCCGAAAGCCCAACAGGGCTCTAGAGCTTTAGGGCTTCAGGGTATAGGGTGTGGAGTATAGGGTTCAGGGTTTAGGGTTTAGGGTTCAGAGTTTGAGGCAGCCTCAACCCTCTGGGGTGGTAGGCTACTACGGAGCGGCAATGCCACTTCTAAGGGGAGTTTCTTGCTGATTCTCAGTGTGGGCTAAGCTCGCTGTGTGGTCACCTAGTTTCCCTAAGCCCTAAACCCTAAACCCTACACCCTAAACCCTAAACCCTCAACCCTAAACAACCCTAAACAACCCTAAACAACCCTAAACAACCCTAAACAACCCTAAACCACCCTAAACAACCCTAAACCCTAAACCCTAAACCAGAGGTTCATGGTGAGGGGTCTCGTTGGATCTTGCCAGGCTCGCGTGGACGCCACCCACTCGATCATCACCTCTCGCCAGCGTGTCGAGGCGGGACGCCCGGGGTTTAGGGTTTAGGGTTTAGGATTTAGGGTTTACGGTTTAGGGTTTAGGGTTTAGGGCTAGGGTTTAGGGCTAGGGTTTAGGGTGTAGGGTTTAGGGTTTAGGGTTGAAGGCCTGTGTGGGTCCTGGAGATGCCCTGACAACGGCCCAGTACCCATCGTTGCCTAAAGCCCTTCGCAGGGCCGCTTTACGAGGGTGAATGAAACCTAAAGCCCGCAACCTCAAAACCCCAAAAGCCTTTTCTTTCTGTGTGCTTGACCCTAAACCCTAAACCCTAAACCCTGAACCCTGAACCCTGAACCCTAAACCCTAAACCCTAAACCCCAAACCTTTGGTTCTTTGGTGTGCTTGACAGCTTCCTATTTCTGGGGCTTAAATTTCAGCCCGAAAGCTTCCACTGCGAGGCGACCATGACGGCCGAGATTTCCACCATGCGCCTGGACATCGGCGACATCCAGGCCGGGCTGACGAAAAAAGGAACCTAAACCCTAAACCCTAAACCCTAAACCCTAAACCCTAAACCCTAAACCCTAGACCCTAAACCCTAAACCCTAAACCCTGCAGCCTAAAGCCGAAACCCTCAGCCCTTGAGCATTTCGCCGCAGCGGGCGCGTCGTTTTGCAAAAGCCCTCCAAAAAGCAAAGAAGCCGCGGAATCCTCCAAGATCTTTCCGAGTCCTCTTCCCGAGCTCCGTGGTTCCGCCACCGCAACCAGATTTTTTTCGGCCTCCCGACCCTCCGACTCTATGTCGCAGAACCCTTAAACCCTTAAACCCTTAACCCTACAACCCGAAAACCTAACCTTTGAGAACCCAGTTGGGGCTCTGGATTCGCGGTCTGCTCAAACAGTCAGCAGTCGACCCACCTCGCGCAGGAAGCACTGAAGAACCATGACAGCTGGATGGAGGATGTCTCTAACACGCCGCTTGGCTGCACCGAGTAGTCAAGCCCCCGATGTTCAACGCCCTGAGCCCTAAACCCCTAAACCCTAAACCCTAGACCCTAGACCCTAAACCCTAAACCCTAAACCCTAAACCCTAAACCCTAGACCCTAAACCCTAAACCCTAAACCCTAAACCCTAAACCCTAAACCCTAAACCAGGAGTTGGGTTCAGGAGGATCATACTGTAGGGATTTTTTCAGGGGCTCGAAGCGCCCCCTCCCGCTGCTTATAAGAAGCGGACTGGAACATGAAACTCGGGTTCGGGGTTTAGAGTTCACTTGGCTCATAAGTAGTTCTAAGTAGGGTTCTGCTTATGGAAACTATACCTCTTAACCTATTCAGGATACTGAAACACCTACTTATCACTACCTAATGCACCTCCAAGTAGGGTGTTAAGGTTTATAGGGTTTGGACTGTAGGGCTTAGGATTCAGGGTTTAGGGTTTAGGGTTTGGGCTTAGGATTCAGGGTTTAGGGTTGAGAGCGCTGTCGCTTTCGCCGGAGGGTTCAGAATGAGGGGCTCCAGGCCTTTCTGGCCTACTTTTGTATTATAGTTTTGTTTTTTGTTTGTGTTTAGGGTTTAGGGTTTAGGGTTTAGGGTTTAGGGTTTAGGGTTTAGGGTTTAGGGTTTAGGGTTTAGGGTTTAGGGGTTTAGGGTTTAGGGTTTAGGGTTTAGGGTTTAGGGTTTAGGGTTTAGGGTTTAGGGTTTAGGGTTTAGGGTTTAGGGTTTAGGGTTTAGGGTTTAGGGTTTAGGGTTTAGGGTTTAGGGTCTTGGTTTGTCTTGTTCTGAGAGGTTTGCGAGTTTCTTCTCAGACGGCATCCCTCATTCAAAGGCAGCCCTCCCCTGCCCCCGGCCCCGGAATATGCAAACACCTCCGGGCCCGGAAGCGCTGTTGATACCCCGGCACCCTCAACCCTAAACCCTAAACCGCAACCCCCAAAGTCCAACATTACACCCGACGCCCCAGAGGATCTGGGGCTGGGAGTGGGATTCTGGGGAAATAGTTCAGGGTTTAGGGTTTAGGGTTTAGGGTTTAGGGTTTCTTCAGGGGAAGGTTGTGGTTAGTAGTTGGGGAAGGGAATTGCTTCCTCCCTCCTTGAGGTGTGGTGTGATGGCCCAACCCTTGGTCCCGGAAAGGCTTCGGCTGCAGAGTAACCTGTAACCTGGTCTAGGACCGACCCAGAGCCTCTTCCTCAAGAATAGGTTCATCACATAAGGATCCTAGTGGCCTATACCCTAAACCCTAAACCCCCCTAACCCCTAAACCCTAAACCCTGATTGCGGGACCGCGGGTCCTCCGGGCCTTGAACGAGGCTTCAGCAGATGCAAGAGAAGGAGGAGAACTTGACGGAGGAGACCCTTGGGGCTGCAGCCAACGAGCCCATCAACCCTAAGCCCAACACCCTCTACAGCCCTGTGAGCCCTGCATGCCCCAAAACCTAAAAGCCCTCAACATCCTGAAGCAACAAACCACGACCCGAAAGAAGCCTTACACACCCTTGAACATCCTTCCTGAACCCCCAAAGCCCCTCCTGCAAAAGCCTTGAGAAACAAACCTACACAAGCCCCTTCAACTAACCCTGAACCCTGAACCCTAAACCCTAAACCCTAAACCCTAAACCCTAAGCCCTAAACCCTAAACCCTAAACCCTAAACCCTAACCCCTAAACCATACACCCACACCTAAACACCGCCAGTATTAAAAGCAACCCAACCTCCGACTCTAGGGTATTTGGGTCGTCATGTATCGGGTACTGTAGGTGGGCACATGGAGTTGAAACTCGGCCCCCAAACCCTAGACCCAAAACCCTCAACCCTTCACCCGAGACCCTTAACCCTAAGCCCTGCACGTTGAATTCCCAAGTTTCCGGGTTTGTGGTGTTAGGGTGTAGGACTTGGGGTTTCTAGGGTCTAGGGACTATATAAGGGACATTACACGGTCCCTCAAGACGCTCCCTTACCTTTATGCGGCTTGGGTTCATGAGGGTTTTGTCGGGACAGATCATCGAACAACACCAATCCCTAAAGTCCAACCCTACAAACCCAAACCCGGAACACCCTAATTCTTGAACAAGGTAAACCCTTAACCCACATGGACCTTGAGCGAAACGTGCAAGAAAGGCCGATGTATCCGGAGATTGTAAAGAGAACCCTCAACCCTAAACCCTAAACCCTAGACCCTACACCCTAAACCCCACACCCTACACCCTGAAGAAGCTCAGAAGCCTGCCAACGCTTGCGCCAGGACATCATCAACCTCAAGAACGAGATGAACACCAAACTGGACACCAAGGCCCCCCCTACCTCCCCTTAAACCCGAAACCCTTAGCGCTAAACCCTAAGCCCGAAACCCTAAACCCTAAACCCTAAACTTTGGGTTTTAGGGTTTCTAGGGTTTCTAGGGTTTGTAGGTTTTCTAGGGTTTCTAGGGTTTCTAGGGTATCCCCCCCCCTGAGGATGAACTGTGGGGCTTGCGGTTGTAGGGTGTCTAGAGGGTCTCTAGGGTTTCTAGGGTTTAGGGTTTCTAGGGTCTAGGGTTTAGGGTTTAGGGTTTATATAGGGTTTAGGGTTTAGGGTTTAGCTTCACTTCTAGTTGCCTTTAACGGCATCGCGGGCAGGTGGACAACGTGGCGTGGAAGGAGGCCAACGATGACCTGGACGCTGCCATCAAGACCGCCACTTTCCTACGATTTGCTTAA